TACAACGCTACCTTCAACCCTCCAGGGACGCCATGGACGGGAAGGAGTAGCGTTGGACCTACTACTATGTTACAAAGTAGCGTCGGAGGCCCTGGAGGGCGTGGGTGGCGTCGGAGAAAAGGAGGCAGGCGTTAGTTTTTTGGGCGTCCGACGCTACCCCTTGCCGTACATGGCATTTCTGGAGGGTTGGAGGTAGAGGACCTGATGAACCCTGGTATCAAAGTTTTTCAACCGCCTACTGCAAGTAGCAGGCCTCTGACATGGTTGTGTAACGACCGCCGTCTAAGTGATCATAAAAAGCAATCAGGACTGCCGGCTTATCTTGCCCGTGTGGTTCGGGGGAACGAAGAGTGGAGAGTACTTTATGCACCTCCATCTGATCTTTTGAGGGTAGACTTGGACACCGTGAAGGCATTGGACACCTTGAAGGACGGGGAGTAACATCGGACAGCCTGAACAGCAGAATTGGCTCGGATGCCCGGTAGGGCAGGGGGGACGTCAGACACCATAAGAGCAGGATGTACCACTGAACGCTCTGGAGGATTGGTGGTAGCGTTGCACACTGTGGAGGACAGGGGGTAGCGTCGGACCCCCAGAAAATCCAATGCCCGTCATCTTTCATCTTCCAGAGTTTCCGAAGCTACTCACGCCCTCCAATGCGTCTGACGCTACTTCCCACCCTCCAGAACGCTACCTCCTGCTTTTCGGGGTGTATGCCCGAACTACACGGGCACGTTAAGCCGTCAAGGTCCCGATTGCTCTCTATGATCACTTAGACGGCAGTCGTTACACTACCATGTCAGAGGCATGCTACTTACAGTGGCGGTCTGACACCAGGGTTCATTGGGTCGTTAGGCAACTTGGTGTACCACTCGAAGAAGAAGAAGTTCCCCCAAAATGCAAAAAAGCCATAATACTAAACAAATCTAGGTTTTCGGCCAAAAAACTAGGATTTTGGCCAAAAACCTGATTCTGCCATCGTACTGCGACAGATACACAAGGTCGTGGGACACTGACAATTAAGCTTGGTGAAGATATGTTGAAACAGGTTGACAAGTTCCGATATCTGGGGAACACTATTACAGCTAAGTGTGACCTTGATGCTGAGATCAATAGCAGAATCAGTGCTGCAGCTGCAGCATTTGGGAAGCTGCGTTCCAAGGTTTTCTGCTCGCACGACCTTAAACTAGCCACAAAAATATCTGTATATATGGCGATTGTGCTGCCCTTCCGAGACCTGGTGTGTGTATCGTCACCACATACGCACTTTGGATCGTGTTCACCTCAAATGCCTTCGCACCATCATAAAGATCAGATGGTCCGACCGAGTGCGAAACACCGAAGTTCTAAGACGAGCCAATGTTGGTGGCATTGAAGCCTTCTTAATGCGTCGACAGCTTCGGTGGTGCGGTCACGTATCCCGGGTAGCGGATGAGCAAGTGGCGAAGCGTATCTTCTATTCTGAGCTAGAGGAGGGCAAGCGAAAGCATGGCGGTCAACTCCTCTGATTTAATGATGTTCAGAAGAGACACATGAAAATATGCAACATCGAACCCTCAATTTGAGGTTTTGGCAGTACAACGGCCAGAATGGCGCTTTGTTGTAAAAAGGCGTAAAACAGACCTCGACGCTAAACGCGATGAACTGAAGGCCCGTCCTCCCGTCGCCATTAACTACAATTATATCAATGGCAAACTCACGTGCCCACACTGTGCGGGGGAGTTTACTGCCAAAATAGGCTACAATAGCCACCTGCGGGCGCATAAGCGCCGACTTGATCAGGAGTAGAAGTGGTCGCCATGGCCGAAGCCGGCCGGAAAGATCATCATCATTATTTATATATTCAGCTTAGACCATTAAATAGTCCAAGGTAGGTATTTAGGCACATCTACGAGCACGACAAACTTTACAGTTACAACGTGAAAATTATTCGTATCGCTCACATTATAAAAACAAAAGAAAGTCTAAAGTATAAGTTTAACGTGCTCTCAGTTGTACTTAACTCTATATCTAATTGATCTCGTACACTTTTCCATATGATTATGTAAAGAAATATATATTTTTTATCATTTATAGTTGTTTTAAACTTCCTTCCTTACTTGTTTACCTCCCCTTTTCGAATAAAAAGCATAAATCCGGACTTATTATGTTCCCTGTTCCATTAAAACTGTAGATACCAGAAAATTTTTAAGCAATATTAAGTGAATAATTAATATAACAACTTTTTTCTTAAGTTAAATAATCAGTTTTGAAAACTTCCTCGCCAGGAAACATTCAGGTAACTTTCAGGAAACTTACCTCAGAAAAGGAAAGTTTCAAGGTAATTTTCATCTCTAGTCACAGTCATACTCATTCACTTCCTGCAAAAAGATTACGTGCAAAGCTAATAAAATAAAAATTAACATTTAAGGCCACCTGTCCAATTTCGCTAATGAATGAAGCGATATGGTAGTTAGAGCGGAAGGGTCGTTGGCCGGCTGGAATTGGATGAGATATAATAGATGTCTAGAATCTGCAATGTTTATAACGGGTCATAATTGTGACATAATTTTCTAAGGCCTATGAGAACATTAAATCTTCTCGTAGTATATCTAGAAATCTATTCGTAGTATAAAGTGCTCGAGTTCGATGGAATTAATTAGCCCTAGGACCCTAACACATGAAATGGGAATAGTACATTAAAAGTATTGCGGTTAGTCCTTATAGTTTATAACACTTCGTATTGCTGTAGGTAATTAGATAGGTATCCCGTATTATTTTGCCGTCTAGACAGAGGTACTTAACTAATTTTATACAGGAGAGGAACCACTTAGCAAAAATCTATTTCAAAATTAACTATGAATTACGAACCAATTGTTTAGCCAATTTGCAATATTCATGAGTAGAATTTCGAGTGGTAGCAAATGGAAACAGAATTTGAAGCACATAATACACATGGGTGCCATTGACTCGCGAAGCTACCAAAAGACCCTGTCTAGTTCAGAAACTTAGCCCGTTATTCTAGATGCAACTTGAGTAATTATTCATATGCATTGTACTAAAGATGACATCTTTATGTTGGTATTATATTAACTGTGAATGTTGTTTTGTGAACGTCTGCCATGAACAGGCGTTTATCATTCCGTTTATAGTTCGGTCTATCTATGTTTTAACGATTAATGATTTGGTAATTGAAATGTTTTATATTGTCTGTATTTATCTGAAACAAAACGATACTCATTTTGTAGAGCATACAACGTATCTCGAAGTTCAGCAATGTATTTTGTTTCACTTCTTGGATTATAATGTAACTGCCTACTTACTACTCCCGCCTATTACTACCTAGTGAATTCAATAATATTCCTTGGAAATAGAGGAATTTAAATATTTGCCTCATTTTCTTTCATATTTCCGTAGTACCTACCTATATACAGTAGATCAAAGCACGGTTGATGCTGGCATTTATATAAACTCTCTGAATCTTATGAATGTTTCAAATCTATTACCGATTGGTTCAAACGCTACACCCTTCGGGGTTGCTCATTCAAATTTATCGCTCCAGCAATACTCCGATGTTCAGCCCTCCACGTTATATACGTGAATTTTGAAACCGTAAAGATTTCATCAGATTTATTACCTGTGTTTGGCTTCAAGCTAAAGTTTATTGGCATTAATACGTATACAGGTTGCAGTCGCGTTGAAATTAATGATTGTTTTTTTGTTTGTTACAGATCTTCGACAAATACGACAAACTTGTGAGAGCCTTTTCTAGAAAGGTACGTAATTGGTTGCATTACATTTTTAAACGGCATCACCTAGCTATTTTAAAATTCTAAATATCTCTACGCCTTGCTAATAAATTAAAAGTTTTTTATGAGATCCCATATTTCGTCAAGCTAAAATTGTTTTTCGATCCAAAGATGTTCAATAATAATTACGCACTTTGCCGGATAAATAACAGCAAAAACGTACTCGTAAGTAATTTTTGTATTGGTAAAAGAGTCTTTTATATTCATTCCGAAGCCAAATATTTTTAGATAACGAATGACTATTATTCATATTCTATTGGGATTGTAATGCACTCACAGTGCTATATTATTCTCACAAGTGAAAATAAGAAATAGAAAAGATGACGTACATCGACCGGGAATCGAACCCGGGCCGCATGGGTAAACGCCCCACCGCTCTGCCACTGAGCTATCGATGCACGGCCGATGGACGCCAAATTTTCTATCTCTTGATGCTCGTCTCCAAGCGACGATCCAGCGACATCTATAGTAAGTATTTAGAACTTACTACATGGTTAGTCCACATTATGAGTGGAATTCAAACCATATGATGAAGCTTGCTTAATCAATCTATTGCGATTGTAATGCACTCACAGTGCTATATTATTCTCACAAGTGAAAATAAGAAATAGAAAAGATGACGTACATCGACCGGGAATCGAACCCGGGCCGCATGGGTAAACGCCCCACCGCTCTGCCACTGAGCTATCGATGCACGGCCGATGGACGCCAAATTTTCTATCTCTTGATGCTCGTCTCCAAGCGACGATCCAGCGACATCTATAGTAAGTATTTAGAACTTACTACATGGTTAGTCCACATTATGAGTGGAATTCAAACCATATGATGAAGCTTGCTTAATCAATCTATTGGGATTGTAATGCACTCACAGTGCTATATTATTCTCACAAGTGAAAATAAGAAATAGAAAAGATGACGTACATCGACCGGGAATCGAACCCGGGCCGCATGGGTAAACGCCCCACCGCTCTGCCACTGAGCTATCGATGCACGGCCGATGGACGCCAAATTTTCTATCTCTTGATGCTCGTCTCAAGCGACGATCCAGCGACATCTATAGTAAGTATTTAGAACTTACTACATGGTTAGTCCACATTATGAGTGGAATTCAAACCATATGATGAAGCTTGCTTAATCAATCTATTGGGATTGTAATGCACTCACAGTGCTATATTATTCTCACAAGTGAAAATAAGAAATAGAAAGATGACGTACATCGACCGGGAATCGAACCCGGGCCGCATGGGTGCCCCACCGCTCTGCCACTGAGCTATCGATGCACGGCCGATGGACGCCAAATTTTCTATCTCTTGATGCTCGTCTCAAGCGACGATCCAGCGACATCTATAGTAAGTATTTAGAACTTACTACATGGTTAGTCCATTATGAGTGGAATTCAAACCATATGATGAAGCTTGCTTAATCAATCTATTGGGATTGTAATGCACTCACAGTGCTATATTATTCTCACAAGTGAAAATAAGAAATAGAAAGATGACGTACATCGACCGGGAATCGAACCCGGCCGCATGGGTAAACGCCCACCGCTCTGCCACTGAGCTATCGATGCACGGCCGATGGACGCCAAATTTTCTATCTCTTGATGCTCGTCTCCAAGCGACGATCCAGCGACATCTATAGTAAGTATTTAGAACTTACTACATGGTTAGTCCACATTATGAGTGGAATTCAAACCATATGATGAAGCTTGCTTAATCAATCTATTGGGATTGTAATGCACTCACAGTGCTATATTATTCTCACAAGTGAAAATAAGAAATAGAAAAGATGACGTACATCGACCGGGAATCGAACCCGGGCCGCATGGGTAAACGCCCCACCGCTCTGCCACTGAGCTATCGATGCACGGCCGATGGACGCCAAATTTTCTATCTTCAAGCAAGCTTCATCATATGGTTTGAATTCCACTCATAATGTGGACTAACCATGTAGTAAGTTCTAAATACTTACTATAGATGTCGCTGGATCGTCGCTTGGAGACGAGCATCAAGAGATAGAAAATTTGGCGTCCATCGGCCGTGCATCGATAGCTCAGTGGCAGAGCGGTGGGCGTTTACCCATGCGGCGGGTTCGATTCCCGGTCGATGTACGTCATCTTTCTATTTCTTATTTTCACTTGTGAGAATAATATAGCACTGTGAGTGCATTACAATCCCAATAGATTGATTAAGCAAGCTTCATCATATGGTTTGAATTCCACTCATAATGTGGACTAACCATGTAGTAAGTTCTAAATACTTACTATAGATGTCGCTGGATCGTCGCTTGGAGACGAGCATCAAGAGATAGAAAATTTGGCGTCCATCGGCCGTGCATCGATAGCTCAGTGGCAGAGCGGTGGGGCATGCGGCCGGTCGATTCCCGGTCGATGTACGTCATCTTTCTATTTCTTATTTTCACTTGTGAGAATAATATAGCACTGTGAGTGCATTACAATCCCAATAGATTGATTAGCAAGCTTCATCATATGGTTTGAATTCCACTCATAATGTGGACTAAGTAGTAAGTTCTAAATACTTACTATAGATGTCGCTGAATCGTCGCTTGAGACGAGCATCAAGAGATAGAAAATTTGGCGTCCATCGGCCGTGCATCGATAGCTCAGTGGCAGAGCGGTGGGGCGTTTACCCATGCGGCCCGGGTTCGATTCCCGGTCGATGTACGTCATCTTTTCTATTTCTTATTTTCACTTATTCATATTCGTTTGGAAAATATCGGATTTATACAAAATATTCGTTGATGAAAAATCTATTCGAAAACAAATAGTCACAGAACCAACAACTTTTATACAATGGAGAAAGAAAAGCGCTTTCGGTTCATTACATCGCCTAAAACAAAAGAAGCTTCCAACCAACTTGAAAGTTGAACTAAAAACTTGGCACTTTGACCTACAAATAGCTGTTGTTGGTGGGCGAGTGAAAAATGGCGCTGGCTTCTACCCCGATAATGTGCGGGCCTGAATGATCCATCAGGGACCTACTCGCATGCTCCAACGCTGGGGTATCACCGCGTATCTCTTTGTTTTCAGTTTTCACATGTAGCAAATTCCTGAGCTGATAAAACTTTTACTAGCGTTCGGTTCGATAGCGACTCGTATTCTGTAGTACTAAATAGCACATGTAAAACAAAATAGTGGTATTCAAAAAGAGCCTTTGGTATTTTGATATCTCGGTAGGTTTACCGGGATTGGATGCCCTATTCGTTAGATTATAAACATTTTATTTGTGTTGTTTCCAGGTCTCTTCTGAAGAATATGGATAAACGACTTAGAGAGTGGACGAATCAGAAATGAAACTACGAACACGAAAGAAACTATCGAACTTTTGGCGCAATCTGGTGGGATTATAGCCAAATGCGAAGTCTGAAAGACATGTAAAGAATAATAATAAAATATCATCTTAGACTTTCATATCAAGCGGCATATCTCGCAAGAAGAGTCGAGAAGCACACATATCTCAATGTTTTAAGCTAGTCACCTTTTTGTGATTATAAGTAGATAGTATAAACATTATTGCTCAAATCCTATAATATCAAGTATTCTCGATTATAGTTCTCCTAGGATAATCAACTCAAGACTTTAACAAACTGCTGAAGAAATAAGCATGTACTGAATCTTGGCCGAAAAGTCAAAGGTGTAAATAAGGATAAAGCAGATTATGAAATACTACAGCATGTATTTCCTGAGGAGAAGAACGTGGTTGCTGAAGGCGGTTTTAGTAGCAACAGCGCTTTGGTTCATGGTAGCATTGCTGATGACAAATGGAGGAGCAAGGAACGCTATCGCCGGCAGTCAACAAGCTCTAGAATATGACGAAGCAGAAACAAAAGCACAGAAATTAGTCAAACCTACATCGTCAAAAAAGAGGAGCGAATCTTCATACGCTAACAATCTATCTGATGGTAAGTATACTACATAATATAATATTTTTAAAGCATGGTTGATAAGCTTTATGTACCTAATTTTAATGTGTATCAATGTTGTTTTTTTTTTTTTATTCAAACCGTGTACCTTTTTTTAAAATGTGGCTTACGTTACTAAGTTGGTAAGATATATTTATACCTAGTGAACAACAAACAAGATGCTTGAGTTAAATAATTTTTTAGGTATTTTTAATTATTTGAGGTTTTGGAGACATAATAGTGGTACAACTGCGGATTCTTATACTTTGTCAAGGAAAAGGAATGGTACACCATTTTATTATTTTATTATAAATCATGTAGAATCACTCTTTATTTTGTTACTACAAATTTTTTTAGACACCAGTTTTTAGATACCAGTTCAATTGTATGGTAAATCAAAAATCCCACTCGAAGAATAAGCAATGAAAATATTTAATTTTGGACATTTTAAATACATATACGGTACCCAAGTTACTAGCATTTGAGTTGTAATCAATATTATGTCGCAGTTATTTAATTGATTTCATAAAACCTATAATTTTATTTTATCCCATCTCATAATTAAAAATTCATACTGTAGATATATTTACACAAAACGTACAACAAACCGGATTTTTGAATATTTTTATTTTTTTAGGTTTTTTAAAATTTTTAAGCTTTATTAGACAGAAAATTCATTCGTCTGAGGATAACGAGGAAGAAGGGGATGGTACACAATTTTATTATAATTTTAGTAGTATCACTCTTTATCTTGTTACGATTAGTAAATTTCGAGGTAAAATTTAGTGACCAGTTGAAATTACTGTTGTATGGTAAAAAAACTATCAGTTATTTAGAACATTATTGATACAGCTTTGACATACAAGCACGAAGTAGAGAATTTACAGGAGGTTCACTCGACCCTATTTAGTATTTTTGCGATTGTCTCTTGTTACATAGTCAATGCAAGAGTAAAAGAATATCAAAACAGTAAAATCTGATACAAGAACGTCATGTGATTCTGAGCCAATTTTAATCCAAGAAAACAAGGTTTCGACATCCGTCTTCCTGAGTTTTCTTTAGATTTCAGTTATTTTCAGTCAGTAAGCCTCAAAATCGTCGCTATTACTGAGTTAGCCATCTGTAAAGGCGCATCGCGCATCGTCTCTAATTCATTAGTGACACAAGTTACTAGAGTTTGTGTCATAATCAAAAAATTATCCAATCTCATATTATTCAAAAATACTGAGTTAAATAATTTTATCTAAAGTCCTATCTCTCACTTTTTGATCCTTTATTTTATACACTTACACATTAAATTCATTGTGTTTTACTTAATAAATGCAACTCAAATTCTCAGTACCTACCGCTAAAATATACATACCTACGCTATACGTGAGGTGATACTAAAATGAGCTAGAATAAGTTAGATCCTAATAGATGTATGAAATTAATATTGAACTAATTTTAACATTATGGACGTAAAACTGCGATAGCTTTTGAAGACATTTCTTTAAATTTGTATTCTGCAGAGTCAGTATTATTTTAAGATGCAACTGTTATCAAGTTGAAATCATAGCTAACGTAGATAGGTTTGTAATCTTCATCATCTATATCTGTATTTAACCTATGTTGCAGTATTTAACCTCTGTTGCATGTTTCTTGTCAACTAGATTTCTTTCTTTGTTCTGCTTTTCTTTTTATTTAATACTGCATGAATTTATGTTTGCACATGACAGGACCACGGGTGAATTGGCTTGAACGGATTGCTGGGGATGGGAATCAAGGTATAATGCTTCTTTTCATAATTTAATAAGCTTTTGCAATACCGTTTCCAAATAAGTGAGACAGATTTGTGGAAGCGGTTACATTGATATGTTATACCAGTAAATTAACTTTGTACGATACATACAAAGCTGAGGCTTTTATTGTTTGTAATGTTTGATACTAACATAGCGTCTAAACATAAAATCATTGTCAACAAATTAGCCTCATCTTCCCAATTTAGATTAGTACTGACATTTCATCATTTCTTTCCGAATATTTTAATTTTGTCTAAATAAATTAACATAAAACCGTGAGCAACAATTTTCCAAACTAATGTGTTTAAAAAGTGAATTTCAATGTTTTCAATAAAATTCGATTTGTAGGACTTGGTGTAATAGCAGCCCCGGGCTCAGACAATGCACCAGGCGAGTTAGGCAAACCCGTAGTATTGCCGAAAAACATAAGTGAGGAAACCAAGCAAGCCGTGTCCGAAGGGTGGAAGAAGAATGCCTTTAACCAGTACGTCAGTGATCTCATATCTATCCGAAGAAAACTACCTGATCCAAGAGACGAATGGTGAGTTATTACAACTATGCAAACAAGTAATAATCTA